AAGAAACTCGACGCTTGAAAGTTGCAAAAAATCGAAGTAAATGCCAACTAAAGCAGGCATAGAAAATATACCAGCTTACGTACGCTACGCAGCCTACATTGGTCCCGACAGCCGCAGCGCAAGCGTCTTTTACCAGCCACGTTCCCACTGCGCATCGCACCGCGCCGCTGTAAGTTGGTGTGCGCTTTGCGATTTTGCATTCGCTTTACATAAATTAAATTATAAAATACTTTATAGGCGCGAGCAACAATTTCAAACATGTCCAGGCAGCCAGCGCTGCGCATAGGCAACCAAGACTTGGCAGGCAGGCGCAGATGTGGCAGCGACAGCAGCGCTCATTTGCTTTTGCCGCGAAATAAGAGGGTGGACATGTTTTCAATTCTCTACAAGAGCAGCAACTCCTTTGTGTGCCAGCGTCGCTCAACTACAACGCAGCTCCAGCACAGCTCCCAACTCAGATCAACCACACTTACACAAATGCGCACGCATATAAACATGTTGCTCTGGTGGCAAAGAATTGGCTTATGCCAGAATTATTCTGTAGAACCGCTCAGCGCTTGCTTCATTTTTATACCTTGAACAAAGTATATTCAGTTTGCTACAAAGTTAGTAACACCATTCCAATTCGTTAGCAAAAATCAAGCGCTGAAGCCTCCACGAGGATGCCGACCTGTATTAGACACCACAGATGCACGACATAGATATGGGCGGTCTAGCAACAGTTGGCTCCTGTTGTAGTTGTGAAGTATAAAGTCAGAGTAGTCTTACTATGGTTGAGAGTCCAGAAAGTCCTGGATCAAGGTGTCACCTGCCGATAATCAACCTTGTAGAAACGAAGCTTATGGAGACCTGACGCTATCGATAATAAGATAGCCTTACTTGTGGAGGCTTTGCGCAACAGGACGTACTTTCCCCTAAACTCGTAGGTCCAAATTATGAGCCAAAGCAATAAAAACAATATACCTAAGTATAAAACAAAACCCGACCTTTTGTGAAAATTGCAGAGAGCTAGTTGTTCCCTGAAGAGGGCAGCGTTTATAACGAGCTCTTGAACCGAATGCGCAAAAGCTGTAGCAAAGCTTGGTCCATACTCAAATGCTACCACTAGTCAGGAAATTGAAGCCAAGGCTCCAGGACTGCTCCAGGAAGGCAATAACACCAGCGGTAGCCGGTAGCAAAACTCCGCTTCCAAAAATTGGCTTCTAAGCAGGGAGGGAAGGGAGATGCTAAAAGTGTTGCTGCTAGCAGTGTGTCTGCCACAGAATAGCCTAATTTTAAGGTCAAAAATGATGCAGAAAAGCGAAGTGCTGCCTCAAAGGGGTGCAGCTGCAACTTTTAGCTTTAAGATCAATGAGAAGTTTACGAAGGAGCTCCAAGGGTAAAGGGTATTTTAACTTCGTTGCAAGCGCAGTTAAATTTTGTCATTTTTTTTCAAGATTGTTTTTATTACAATGAATATGTTTTTCAGCAGCGCCACGCCCACATTTTGTATTTATACGATCAGCAAATAACCAGCGGGCAGATTTTGTCGACGCAACAATTGCGGCAGCCGCTGCAACTCCCAACTTTGAATTGAACGTCAACGTCAGCCACAACGCGGCCTTACAAGCTCGCTAAGCGCAGTGCTAAGTGCGTGGTTGTCTGCCGCTCGGCATTCCTGCCATCGCTCGAGGCTCTCGAGGCCGCAACGGCTGTGTTATGCTTGAGACACTCGTACGCTCACCGTCTTCATTCGTGTTTTGTCTGTGTTGGCGTTTTTGTGTGAGAATTTTTAATTTAATTGCAATTGTTTTCTATCACCAACAACTTGAAAGAAAGAATAAAAGAATGCCATGGCTTATGTTGTTCTTTTTTTGTCTCCTAGCAGCCTATAAATGCAAGAGTAATGAGTCCATACTTTGGGGCGTGTTGTAGTTATTTGTTTTGGTGTCGGACGACCAGGCATTAGGAGCGTTCAACAAGCGCATGATTAATGTGGCAATTTTTCATGTTGTCTTCACTTATTGTTGCCATGCGAAAGCGCTCTATGTATGCGTCGACTTAAGCAGTATTCTACTTTGAAACCGAACTCAACTTGTGGAAAAGTTCACACGCTGTTGTTGCTGAGTTCGGATTGACTTGTACCAGAATTTTTTTTGTTCTACAGCATTACATTTCCATATAAATTATTACCAAGTGATTATTGAATTATGATACTTTGGGGTTCCCAAAGCTCTCATTAAGCAGTAAGTGAACGAACTGTTCTAGAGTTTCGAAGTGGTCTAGCGTCACCTTAAAGTAATTGACCATTTAAACCATGACCTAGCCCTAAATGTGTATTCATACTTTCAAAGCTGCAGACATCTCTTCTATCCGGACAACATTACCTAGCCAGGATAACCGCTGTCTCTTGATTCAATCTATATATCCTCTTATTTGTCGTTCAATCGACTGCGATATGTGCAAAGGATCCTAAACCAATGTGAAGAGAACCAGAAATCTTGCGCAAAACCTTTGTTTCGAACACTGATTCATCACATGTGTCCATGCCTCCGCACCATACAGCAGGACGGGAATGATGAGGTACTTGAAGAGTTTAGTCATTCTTCGTCGAGAGCCTTTACTTTACTTTTCAATTACCTACTCAGTCTAAAGTAGCACCTGTTAACGGAGATGGTTCTGAGTTGGATATGAAAGGCAGATAATGTTGTTGGTTCCAAGATAAACGAAACTTTCTACGACTGTCAACAGTCAACGAGCCAACCTGTGAATACAATGATTACTTGTTCGATGACCCATAAGTTTTGCTTCCTCATCAAGTCTAGGAAAAACAGAACTAACGGCGTGGTTGTTGAAGCCAATGATATGAACATCATCGGCCCACACTTTTATAGACACCTTCTCCATCGTATTATTTTCCGCAGTAATATCCGGAGGTCGCACAATAAAGTGTCTCGCTGTCCTGAAATCTCACTTGGTATCAAATGGCGCAGAGACGTTCTTTCCTATCTGGTTGGTGGCCTTTCGATCCGGAGACAGCAAGATAGTTTGATGAATTTTCCCATGCTAGAATCTAGAACTACAGATAACCATATTTCGGGACCCGGCGGAGTCGATCAGCCTCAACCCATTTGGGGTGTTTCATCATGGAGGCTAAATTTATGAACCGTTGTGCCAAAGATATATTTTTGTCTCACGTTGGTGTTAAAGTCAGCAAGCACGATTTCCGCAGCTCTCATAGGTGTGCTCCAAGCGCTCACAGTAGACATCTTCGGCCACATCGTCCATAAAGAACTTCGCTTTGATGCGAATTGTGGCTAGACCTTCATCCAGCGGAACTCCCAATTGAATGACCCTCAGAGAACTTTTCTCATTTGCGAGGTGGACAGTGCGCTTTCTTCTCCACTAGGACGAGAGTTTCCATCGTACCCGTTGTTCTGCGACCTTTCCATTCCATTTTAGTCGCCACCGCAGCAAACAAGAGACAGAAGTCGCAAATTTTTGCAAGAACAGGAGTATGCCCTAATAAGAATTTTGGTAACATGGCTTCATACTTTATCAACTTTAATTCTATGCCCATTAGATTAGTTACTTCAATATTATGGTGTAAAAATTCAGAGCCGCACCAATAGGTAATCGTGCCTTTGGAGACTGCTGATGCTATCAGCCAATCCGCCAACAATTAATCAGTTCTTGTTGCTACTGCTTAAGCTTCATATACATATATATAATTATACTGGCACTGAGCAAAGAATGATAGCTGATAGACGTGCTGATAACCAAATGATGCCTGAGTCGTAGATAAAGAACGTAGTTGGGCAGCACAAGAATTTCATTTGTCATTTCAATATTCGTCTAGGTTGTCATACAATTAATAACAAAACATTTAACTGAATACTGTTGTTGCTGCTTGTATGCCAATTTAATGGACGCATGTCGCATTACTGTCTGCATGTCGCACATTTATCATGCGCATGCGCAGCTAGTATGGTAGTTGAAATGTGTTCTATTGGCACAACGTGCAGCATTCGCATAATTATTGCTAGCACTTCCAGGTGCACCATTACTGTTATGGCACTTTCTCAAGTCATTAGCCGCGTTGTGTGTGTGTTCCCTTGAGCTTTCGGCGGCCGCCTGACCCAGCTACACACATTTTCGCTGATTCGATTAGAATGCCCACAACGCAGGCGCAGCCATTCGCTTTTCTTTTACCATTTATGGCGCGCAGCTAAGGTCATGTGATGTTTTACACAACTGCAACAACAACAAGAGCTGCTATATGTACATACACGTCAGTTAAATCTATTTTTAGCAACACTTCAATATATCGCTGTCTGACGCATACAACAACCCCCCCTATGGCACTTTACAACGGACCCAACTACTTGACGAGCATACGCTTTGCCTTTTAATTCTTTGCCATTTAAAAATTTGTTGCAACAACGTTGAACATCGGTATTCGGCATGATTGTAATCCCCGGTAGTATGAGCTCTCACATGGTCACATGCATATGTGGCACATACATGCGTGTTGTAAGTGGCCACATCCTCCTGCTGTGAATTATGTGTCTACATAAATTACCAACTGTGAAATTAATCATTTTTGCTGTGTTGCAAACTTTACTCATTTTCCCAAAGGCGCACAAAGAAGGCTTAGAAAGACACACCCACACATGTGCGCTTAAATATAGGGAGCAAGTGAGCGCACTCCGGTGACAGCGGTTGGTTTGGGGTGGCGGTGAAGGAGAAGGTACATCGCTTAAGGCAAGTTATGCGCAAGCTTTCTTCTATAATATTTGTACTACTTATTTTGTTTGTTGTTTTTGTTACAGTTTTGATTTATGCAAATGACAGTGGCGCCACTACGCCACCAATGTCATTTTGTTTCGCAGCCGTTGGGCGCAAAAGGTATGTATATAGTGAAGCTTAAAAATTATTATAAAATAAGTATTACCAGTAGACTCTTCCATAGCAATCTTATTTAAATTAACGATAGGACAATAAATTAAATTTGTACTTACAGTAAATATAACTGCCAACTAAAAACAGTGAGCAGCTCTGAACTGGATACTCTGAAATTAAGAAAACAAACAGATTTCGTTAACGTTATGTTAAATCTAGTAATTAATCCAAGAAATGATAAAAATGATTAACAAAATATGACTTTTTGACAAAATGACGGTATCTCAAAAATAAAAATCGATTTTGACGAAAATTCCGGCTTTAATTTTTCAGCGACGATTCAGCTCCCTCAGCGAATTGGATTTTATCTCTTCGATCAACTGAATCGACTGGAGCGGCAATTTCAGTTTGCAAAACAAGAAAAAATTACACGGAGCTAAATCTGGTGAATATGGTGGCTGATCGATGGTATACATTGCGTTTTTATACTCTCGCAACAATGTTGCTAAAGAGAATATTATAGTTTTGTTCACATAACGGTTGTTTGTAAGTCCTAAAACTAAAAGAGTCAGATATAGGGTTATATATACTAAAATGATCAGGGTGACGAGTAGAGTTGAAATCCGTCTGTCCGTCTGTCCGTCCGTCCGTGCAAGCTGTAACTTCAGTAAAATTGAGATGTCATGATGAAACTTGGTACTCGTATTTCTTGGCTCCATAAGAAGGTTAAGTTCGAAGATGGGCAAAATCGGCCCACTGCCACGCCCACAAAATGGCGAAAACCGAAAACCTATAAAGTGTCATAACTAAGCCGTAAATAAAGATATTAAAGTGAAATTTCGCATTAGAGAGGGGCATATTTGGCCGTAATTTTTTGGAAAAGTGGGCGTGGCCTCGCCCCCTACTAAATTTTTTGTACATATCTAGGAAACTGCTACAGCTATGTCAACCAAACTCTATAGAGTCGTTTCCTTCAGGCATTTTCATATACAGCTCAAAAATGGAAGAAATCGGATAATAACCACGCCCACCTCCCATACAAAGRTTATGTTGAAAATCACTAAAAGTGTGTTAACCGACTAACGAAAAACGTCAAAGACACTAAATTTTACGGAAGAAATGGCAGAAGGAAGCTGCACCCAGGCTTTTTTTAAAAATTGAAAATGGGCGTGGCGACGCCCACTTATGGACCAAAAACCATATATCAGGAAGTACTCAACCGATTTCAATGAAATTCGGTATATAATATTTTCTTAACACCCTAATGACATGTACCAAATATGGGTGAAATCGGTTCACAACCACGCCTGAAATCTCGGTTATCACTTTATCATACGAGAGTATAAAATGTTCGGTGACACCCGAACTTAGCCCTTCCTTACTTGTTGGATTTAAATTCAGTTACGATCGTGGAGCGATGGGATGGTACGTTATCATCCATGAATTGTTCTTTCACAATTCTCCGTTCTCCGCCGTTTTCGGCAAATGTTCTCACGCAAACTACTCAACACGGTCAAATAGAACTACTTTTAGGCTGTTTGTCCCTCCGGAACAAATTCATGCTGCACCAAATCACGAATATCGGAAAAAAACAATGAGCTTAACGTAATTTTTTTGGTTTCGGCTCGATTTTCCCCTTCATTCCGAAGATTGTTGACTTGTTTACATGTCAAACTCGTAATTGTCCACGGAGACCTGTTTACGGTGCTCTTTTTGCAAAAAATTAGCTTTATCGAAGAACTCTCTCTTGCCATTTCTCTAACACTTGCCTGACGATTTTCCTGGTGCCTGACGATTTTCCTTCGCTTTTCTTAATATTTACATCAGTTGAAGAGGTGCAAGATCGTCTAGAACGAGAAATGTCTTCAACGACTTCTCGACCATCTTTGCAGGCTTTGTAGACTTGTGTTTTTTTGATAAAATGTCGATGTTTGTCAATCATCCATAACAAGACTTGTTGCGAGTGGACACGAGAAATATAAAAAAAAAAATACAATAGCGGTGCTTCGAAATTCGTCTGAGTCATTATGGTCTGAAAAGAAATGGCCGTCTAAAACCCTCCACTCTCAGCTCAAGAGAGTAATTCCTCGAAAGGCTAGCGTAATGTTAGGCACCTCTAACTCACAAAAGTAGGGAGATTTTCACCGCATATAAAAACAAAAAGTGACTCACTTCTTGTATTAATATTTGAGCTTAACCAGTTAGATATTTCCCATCCTAGTCGCAGCAATAGTTCGACCGAAGCCGCGTTTTGAAGGATCCTTAGTCTAAAAACTCTTCTCCAACAGTGCGCGTTCCGCACAAACATCGCTATCGACCAAAGTTACCTCGAACGAGCGTCTAAAGATGGATCCGTCAACTTTCAATTCGCCCCTTTGCTCACCGCGTCTGAGAAGATGGAGTCGATATCCATTTTCGAGTGTGTCTCCTTTCCTTTTTCTTCTACCTTAACTGGAGGCAGCGGGTAATAGGCCTGGCTTCGAGAGGGAGGTCCTCAGGATACTCCTTACGGGTAATCCGCCTGGCTTTTGTATTGAGTATCCTGAGGACCACCCTTTCGAAGCTATAGCATTTAGCCATCATTGTGACACTGAGAAGAACAAGATACTACTTGTTTAAAAGTATTAGCGCTTGCTGATATGGCTTATCGGTTTTCTCCAGGCTAATCAGTCTCCAGTCCAGGTGGGGAGATAAGGATTGCAATTCCGCAACAACTCTTCAGTTTCAACCAGGGATTAATGGGCTGGAAGCCAGACACGAGTACGACGAATCAACAGGAGATCCGATTTGGCCACTGCCTCTAGCTTTGGTCCCTTCTGCACTTCCCCCATTCTGGCTACCGCCTTTTTACAGAGGCATGCCGAACATGCCTCGGCCGCAGATTATTTATTGTTTCTCTGGATTAAACGCATGGAGGCGAACTTGCTCTATAGGTTGGATTTCCCTTTAAAAGCTTACCTCAAGAAACAAAAATGGGAAACCAACTTGAAGAATTGTATAATCTTCTAGTAATTGGCTGCTTCATAGATCTGTTATAGGTGGACCACACAAATATTCCAACTTTTTAGAAGACTTAACAAAATATTATGCGCAACAGGTTGACCATGAAAGCGCGTTGGTGTTGGTTGACATTGGCGCGTGACAATTGTTGACTTGTTGACTAAATTACAACTCATTCGATGAAACCACAATTTGCAATTTAATTTATAATTTTCATAATTGCGAAGCCAACTAAGCAACACAGCAACAACAAGCGAATTAACGCGAACGTGGGGCTGCTCAACGGCATTTGGTGGCCACAAAGTAATCAGGCTGATGTCAGCGGTGTTGGCTGCAGCACCAAAGAGCCTACCGCTCACCGCTAACAACTGATAATCTCTGCATAAATTACGAGTTAATAAGGCACAGTTGGGAATTAAAAGCTAATTTATTGGTTAAACACAAATATGGTAAAGAAATTCAAAACCAAATAGAAGACGAATGCCACAAGTGTTGGTGGAGGAGTGGCAAGCAGCGACGCGAAGTGCCATGGTCGGCGGTGTTAAGCTGCAAATGTGTGTCAGGAATGATGTTGCACGGTGATTAAGGAGATTGAGCCAGCAAGCGCATATGAGTATAATAATAATAAGCACCTGCTAATGGCCAAGTTAATGACGAAAATAAGCGAAGTCAGCGCGAAGTAGCACGCTTACCATGGTGATGACGGCGTGCGGGCGTCATTGCTGTTGGAGTGTGGAGAATTGCCAATTTGCAGCTCATACATTTCCAACTTCATATGTATGCCAGCGCATTAGTTCCTCCATTTCGCGAGCGCTAATGACAAACAACACAAAACTTCGTCTGAAATCGCGGTTCACGGCTTGGTTTCCACTTAAAAGCTAACGGTTTGCAGCACGCAAGGAGCCATACAAAATTCAAGTTAAGGGATGCAACTTGCAAATTGACCACAATTCGCGAAATATGCAATGAGACAAGCGGACACAAAAACAATTTAAGCACAAGCCACAAATGTTAATCATCAGCATATGGAAATTACTTCGGATGTGTTCTCCGCTTTGCTGGTATTACGTGCTACGTTAAGCTGGACATGGTTGGGTCGTCGTGAAAAACTGTTGGGTATATCAACTAAAGACCAAACTCTACAAGTCACTCATCCTTCCCTTCCTGCTATATGGTGCAGAATAATGGACGATGACAACAACTGAAGAGTCGGCGTAACGAGTTTTCGAGAGAAGGGTTCTGCGGAAGATTTATGGTACTTTGCGCATTAACAACGACGAATACCGCAGTCGATGGAATGATGAGCTGTAAGAGACACACGGGGACATTGACAAAGTTCAGCGAATAAAAAGACACATGTCGTCCGAATGGATGAAAACACTCCAGCTCTAAGAGAATTCGTTGCAGTAACAGAGGAAAAGGAAGACATCCATTCTGTTGGAAAGACCATATGGAAAAGGAGCTGTCTACACTTGGAATCCGAAATTGACGCCAAACAGCGAAAGAGAAGAACTACTGGCATGCAGCTGTAAACTCTGCTATAACCGTGTTTGATACCACATACCGCAATCAATGGATTCATTAAGAGAACACTTCGGCGAGCAGATAATTTCAAATTTTGGACCGATGAATGGCCACCACGATCGCGTGATATCACAAGGTTAGACTTTTTCCTATGTGAATATGCGAAGTCTAAGATCCCTGCGGACAATCCCGCTTCGATTCAGTCCTTGCAGCAAAACACCACTTGTGTCACTTGCCAGTTGTCAGTGGAAATGCTCGAAAGAGGCATTGAAAATTGGACTCAACGGAGGCACTATCTGAGAGGTAGCCGCGGCCAATATTTAAAAGAGATAATCTTCAAAACATAAATGCGTAAGAATGTTGTTTCGAATGATGATAAATTTGGAGTTTCTGTAAGTTTCCTTTAAAAGAGTAGGGAACCTCAAAATGGGTTACCCTTTTTATTAAACATTATATTAAAAAGGCGGCGATGTTGGACCATTGTTGCAGAATGCATGATGTCAAGAAACCAAAAACTGAAAGTTTACCAACGAGGAACAAATCAATGTACCGTGTTAGGCGCAATTCACTCCACTGAATCTCAAAAGCTCATAAATATACCTCCACCGAATTTTGTAACGATTTATAATGATTGCATAAATTTTTT